ATAAGCTTTCGTGACCTACAGCTCACTTCATCGGATGCATAATTTGCTGGTTATTATTGTCCTGATAAAATGTGTGTGGCAACATTGGATGTGAAGTTATAAGATTCCACTGTACGGTGTTCTTAACACGTGTTTCAAACTGAGGTTGCCAAACAGGTCTGTCTCAAAGAAAGAGATGTGTGCTCTGCTTAATTTGTATTTAAGAAGTAAACAGAAAGAAAAGGAGTACTTGTGGCACCTTAGAGACTAACCAATTTATCTGAGCATAAGCTTTCCTGAGCTACAGCTCACTTCATTGGATGCATACTGTGGAAAATACAGAAGACATTTTTATACACACAAACCATGAAAAAATGGGTGTTTATCACTACAAAAGGTTCCCCCCCCCCCCCCTCTCCTGCTGGTAATAGATTATCTAAAGTGATCACTCTCCTTACAATGTGTATGATAATCAAGGTGGGCCATTTCCAGCACAAATCCAGGGTTTAACAAGAACGTCTGGGGGGGGGAGGTTGGAAAAAACAAGGGGAAATAGGTTACCTTGCATAATGACTTAGCCACTCCCAGTCTCTATTCAAGCCTAAGTTAATTGTATCCAATTTGCAAATTAATTCCAATTCAGCAGTCTCTTGCTGGAGTCTGGATTTGAAGTTTTTCTGTTGTAATATCGCAACTTTCATGTCTGTAATCGCGTGACCAAAGAGATTGAAGTGTTCTCCGACTGGTTTATGAATGTTATAATTCTTGACATCTGATTTGTGTCCATTTATTCTTTTACGTAGAGACTGTCCAGTTTGACCAATGTACATGGCAGAGGGGCATTGCTGGCACATGACAGCATATATCACATTGGTAGATGTGCAGGTGAACGAGCCTCTGATAGTGTGGCTGATGTTATTAGGCCCTGTGATGGTGTCCCCTGAATAGATATGTGGGCACAGTTGGCAACGGGCTTTGTTGCAAGGATAGGTTTCTGGGTTAGTGGTTCTGTTGTGTGGTATGTGGTTGCTGGTGAGTATTTGCTTCAGGTTGGAGGGCTGTCTGTAGGCAAGGACTGGCCTGTCTCCCAGGATTTGAGAGTGTGTTGGGTCATCCTTCAGGATAGGTTGCAGATCCTTAATAATGCATTAGAGGGGTTTTAGTTGGGGGCTGAAGGTGACAGCTAGTGGCGTTCTGTTATTTTCTTTGTTAGGCCTGTCCTGTAGTAGGTGACTTCTGGGAACTCTTCTGGCTCTATCAATCTGTTTCTTCACTTCCGCAGGTGGGTATTGTAGTTGTAAGAATGCTTGATAGAGATCTTGTAGGTGTTTGTCTCTGTCTGAGGGGTTGGAGCAAATGCAGTTGTATCGCAGAGCTTGGCTGTAGACGATGGATCGTGTGGTGTGGTCAGGGTGAAAGCTGGAGGCATGTAGGTAAGAATAGCGGTCAGTAGGTTTCCGGTATAGGGTGGTGTTTATGTGACCATCGTTTATTAGCACTGTAGTGTCCAGGAAGTGGATCTCTTGTGTGGACTGGACCAGGCTGAGGTTGATGGTGGGATGGAAATTGTTGAAATCATGGTGGAATTCCTCAAGGGCTTCTTTTCCATGGGTCCAGATGATGAAGATGAAATCAATATAGCGCAAGTAGAGTAGGGGTGTTAGGGGACGAGAGCTGAGGAAGCTTAGATGTCTATTAAAAAAACCCACAAGAAACTCTTGTACAATGCCCCCTAAATGTTTCCCATCCTCCAGTTCTGAGAAAACAAATCTACACAGTTTCTTGGCATGGTCTTCCGGAGTCCCAGACTTAAAGTACCTTAGAGGTCTGTGTACAGATCTATAATAAAATTGAATAATTTGCAGTTAGAACATCTTTCATCTGAGGATATCAAAGCCCTTTGCTTATAACTACACCTCACAACACCTCTGTAAAATAGGTACAATGTATATCCACTTCACAGATAGCAAAGTGGGGTATATGAAGATTAAATGACTTTTCAAAGTGAGTCAGTGGCAGGACCAGCAATAGAACGCAGGAGTCTTGGCTTCCACTCCTGTGCTCTGACTACTAGACATATTTCTCCCTAAAACTAATCATATTACAGAAAAAAAATCATTATCCTTAAAAGGGTTTAACACAGGGCAGTTGAGTTTTGCCTGATTAAGGGTATGTCTACACTACGGAATAAGGTCGAATTTATAGAAGTCGGTTTTTTAGAAATCGGTTTTATAAATTCGAGTGTGTGTGTCCCCACAGAAAATGCTCTAAGTGCATTAAGTGCATTAACTCGGCGGAGCGCTTCCACAGTACCGAGGCAAGCGTCGACTTCCGGAGCGTTGCACTGTGGGTAGCTATCCCACAGTTCCCGCAGTCTCCGCTGCCCATTGGAATTCTGGGTTGAGATCCCAATGCCTGATGGGGCTAAAACATTGTCGCGGGTGGTTCTGGGTACATATCGTCAGCCCCCCGTTCCCTCCCTCCCCCCGTGAAAGCAAGGGCAGACAATCATTTCGCGCCTTTTTTCCTGAGTTACCTGTGCAGACGCCATACCACAGCAAGCATGGAGCCCGCTCAGGTAACCGTCACCCTATGTCTCCTGGGTGCTGGCAGACGCGGTACGGCTTTGCTGCACAGTAGCAGCAACCCCTTGCCTTCTGGCAGCAGACGGTGCAATACGATTAGTAGTTGTCCTCATCGTGTCCGAGGTGCTCCTGGCCGCGTCGGCTGGGAGCGCCTGGGCAGACATGGGCGCAGGGACTAAATTTGGAGTGACTTGACCAGGTCATTCTCTTTAGTCCTGCAGTCAGTCCTATTGAACCGTCTTATGGTGAGCGGGCAGGCGATACGGACTGCTAGCAGTCGTACTGTACCATCTTCTGCCAGGCAGGCAAGAGATGGGGATGGCTAGCAGTCGTACTGTACCATCTTCTGCCGAGCAGCCATGAGATGTGGATGGCATGCAGTCCTTCTGCACCATCTGCTGCCAGCCAAAGATGTAAAAGATAGATGGAGTGGGTCAAAACAAGAAATAGACCAGATTTGTTTTGTACTCATTTGCCTCCTCCCCTGTCTAGGGGACTCATTCCTCTAGGTCACACTGCAGTCACTCACAGAGAAGGTGCAGCGAGGTAAATCTAGCCATGTATCAATCAGAGGCCAGGCTAACCTCCTTTTTCCAGTAACAACGATAACTTAGGTGCACCATTTCTTATTGGAACCCTCCGTGCAGTCCTGCCTGAAATACTCCTTGATGTACAGGCACCCCCTTTGTTGATTTTAGCTCCCTGAAGCCAACCCTGTAAGCCGTGTCGTCAGTCGCCCCTCCCTCCGTCAGAGCAACGGCAGACAATCGTTCCGCGCCTTTTTTCTGTGCGGACGCCATACCACGGCAAGCATGGAGCCCGCTCAGCTCACTTTGGCAATTAGGAGCACATTAACCACCACACGCATTATTCAGCAGTATATGCAGCACCAGAACATGGCAACGCGATACCGGGCGAGGAGGCGACGTCAGCGCGGTCCCGTGAGTGATCAGGACATGGACACAGATTTCTCTGAAAGCATGGGCCCTGACAATGCATGCATCATGGTGCTAATGGGGCAGGTTCATGCTGTGGAACGCCGATTCTGGGCTCGGGAAACAAGCACAGACTGGTGGGACCGCATAGTGTTGCAGGTCTGGGACGATTCCCAGTGGCTACGAAACTTTCGCATGCGTAAGGGCACTTTCATGGAACTTTGTGACTTGCTTTCCCCTGCCCTGAAGCGCATGAATACCAAGATGAGAGCAGCCCTCACAGTTGAGAAGCGAGTGGCGATAGCCCTGTGGAAGCTTGCAACGCCAGACAGCTACCGGTCAGTTGGGAATCAATTTGGAGTGGGCAAATCTACTGTGGGGGCTGCTGTGATGCAAGTAGCCCACGCAATCAAAGATCTGCTGATATCAAGGGTAGTGACCCTGGGAAATGTGCAGGTCATAGTGGATGGCTTTGCTGCAATGGGATTCCCTAACTGTGGTGGGGCTATAGACGGAACCCATATCCCTATCTTGGCACCGGAGCACCAAGCCGCCGAGTACATAAACCGCAAGGGGTACTTTTCGATAGTGCTGCAAGCTCTGGTGGATCACAAGGGACGTTTCACCAACATCAACGTGGGATGACCGGGAAAGGTGCATGATGCTCGCATCTTCAGGAACTCTGGTCTGTTTCAAAAGCTGCAGGAAGGGACTTTATTCCCAGACCAGAAAATAACTGTTGGGGATGTTGAAATGCCTATATGTATCCTTGGGGACCCAGCCTACCCCTTAATGCCATGGCTCATGAAGCCATACACAGGCAGCCTGGACAGTGGTCAGGAGCTGTTCAACTACAGGCTGAGCAAGTGCAGAATGGTGGTAGAATGTGCATTTGGACGTTTAAAGGCGCGCTGGCGCAGTTTACTGACTCGCTTAGACCTCAGCGAAACCAATATTCCCACTGTTATTACTGCTTGCTGTGTGCTCCACAATATCTGTGAGAGTAAGGGGGAGACGTTTATGGCGGGGTGGGAGGTTGAGGCAAATCGCCTGGCTGCTGGTTACGCGCAGCCAGACACCAGGGCGGTTAGAAGAGCACAGGAGGGCGCGGTACGCATCAGAGAAGCTTTGAAAAACAGTTTCATGACTGGCCAGGCTACGGTGTGAAAGTTCTGTTTGTTTCTCCTTGATGAACCCCCCGCCCCTTGGTTCACTCTACTTCCCTGTAAGCTAACCACCCTCCCCTCCTCCCTTTAATCATTGCTTGCAGAGCCAATAAAGTCATTGTTGCTTCACATTCATGCATTCGTTATTCATTCATCACACAAATAGGGGGATGACTACCAAGGTATCCCAGGAGGGGTGGTGGAGGAGGGAAGGAAAATGCCACACAGCACTTTAAGCACAGCACTTTAAAAGTTTACAACTTTAAAATTTATTGAATGACAGCCTTCTTTTTTTTGGGCAATCCTCTGTGGTGGAGTGGCTGGTTGGCCGGAGGCCCCCCACCGCGTTCTTGGGCATCTGGGTGTGGAGGCTATGGAACTTGGGGAGGAGGGCGGTTGGTTACAGAGGGGCTGCAGTGGCAGTCTGTGCTCCAGCTGCCTTTGCTGCAGCTCAACCATACACTGGAGCATACTGGTTTGGTCCTGCAGCAGCCTCAGCATTGAATCCTGCCTCCTCTCATCACGCTGCCGCCACCTTTGAGCTTCAGCCCTGTCTTCAGCCCGCCACTTACTCTCTTCAGCCCTCCACCTCTCCTCCCGGTCATTTTGTGCTTTCCTGCACTCTGACATTATTTGCCTCCACGCATTCGTCTGTGCTCTGTCTGTGTGGGAGGACAGCATGAGCTCGGAGAACATTTCATCACGAGTGCGTTTTTTTTTCTTTCTAAGCTTCACTAGCCTCTGGGAAGGAGAAGATCCTGTGATCATTGAAACACATGCAGCTGGTGGAGAAAAAAAAAGGGACAGCGGTATTTAAAAAGACACATTTTATAAAACAGTGGCTACACTCTTTCAGGGTAAACCTTGCTGTTAACATTACATACATAGCACATGTGCTTTCGTTACAAGGTCGCATTTTGCCTCCTCCCACCGCGTGAACGGATTTTGGTTGAATGCCAGCAAACATACACGGCAATGCTTTGTTCTACAGTGATTCCCCAGTACGTGTTGCTGGCCTGGAGTGGTAAAGTGTCCTACCAAGAAGGACGAAATAAGGCTGCCCTCCCCAGAAACCTTTTGCAAAGGCAGAACCGCAAATGCCAGGGCAAAGTAATCCTTTCACATGCTTGCTTTTAAACCATGTATAGCATTTTAAAAGGTACACTCACCAGAGGTCCCTTCTCCGCCTGCTGAGTCCAGGAGGCAGCCTTGGGTGGGTTCGGGGGTACTGGCTCCAGGTCTAGGGTGAGAAACAGTTCCTGGCTGTCGGGAAAACCGGTTTCTCCGCTTGCTTGCTGTGAGCTATCTACAACCTCCTCATCATCATCTTCTTTGTCCCCAAAACCTACTTCCGTATTGCCTCCATCTCCATTGAAGGAGTCAAACAACACGGCTGGGGTAGTGGTGGCTGAACCCCCTAAAATGGCATGCAGCTCATCATAGAAGCGGCATGTTTGGGGCTCTGACCCAGAGCGGCTGTTCGCCTCTCTGGTTTTCTGGTAGGCTTGCCTCAGCTCCTTCAGTTTCACGCGGCACTGCTTCGGGTCCCTGTTATGGCCTCTGTCCTTCATGCCCTGGGAGATTTTCACAAAGGTTTTGGCATTTCGAAAACTGGAACGGAGTTCTGATAGCACGGATTCCTCTCCCCAAACAGCAATCAGATCCCGTACCTCCCGTTCGGTCCATGCTGGAGCTCTTTTGCGATTCTGGGACTCCATCATGGTCACCTGTGCTGATGAGCTCTGCATGGTCACCTGCAGCTTGCCACGCTGGCCAAACAGGAAATGAGATTCAAAAGTTCGCGGTTCTTTTCCTGTCTACCTGGCCAGTGCATCTGAGTTGAGAGCGCTGTCCAGAGCGGTCAGAATGGAGCACTCTGGGATAGCTCCCGGAGGCCAATACCATTGAATTGTGTCCACAGTACCCCAAATTCGAGCCGGCAACGTCGATTTAAGCGCTAATCCACTTGTCAGGGGTGGAGTAAGGAAATCGATTTTAAGAGCCCTTTAAGTCGAAATAAAGGGCTTCATTGTGTGGACGGGTGCAGGTTTAAATCGATTTAACGCTGCTAAATTCGACCTAAAGTCCTAGTGTAGACCAGGGCTAAGACACTTAAAAAATTTTTTTTTGGTTTTGGCTCTGTTATTGTAAGAGCTCTACCATGAGCTGTCTGCAACATTCTTGAATATGCTATTTTGCTGATCTGCTGTTATGGTGTTAGCTGTTTGGGGTGAAATTTGCTTTCAGGAGTGTTCATTTGTAACCCTTAGAAAAAGAAAACCTTGTAATGCTCAAATTGTATTTGTAATCCGTCAGGACTCTGTTTTGTAACTCACCATATTTAGCATCCACGTCACCATTCTGAGCTGCTATTAAGCAGTTTTATCTATGTTGTCACTGTGCCACAGATAATATCTAGATTTACACATTTCTTCCCCCTGACCCTGAGAGAGCTGTCTTTGTGCTGGAATGTGGTAGCTGGAAATACAATTCTGGATGGTTAGAAATTAGTTGTGCCTTGGCAGACTGAACAAGAGGAATTTGTTTTCCTACATAACAATAATATTTTAATACAGTGAATGGGATATTCCAAGATTCAGGGAACAAATTATTTCCAAGATTGCAACTGGTAGTGTGAAAAGTTCAAACTGAAAATAAAATAACACCATTCCCCTTATTTACATACGTATTATTATTTATATAGTGTTCAGTGTGTGCTAGGTGCTTTATAAACAAATAATAGATGCACTATGCAAAGGGATGAAAAAAGTACTGATGAATACATATGGAACACCAATACAATATACATGGACTACAGTAAATGAGATAAAGAAGCTTTCATATACCATACTTAAAGCAGTAGTCAGTAGTGTCTCTTCCTGTGCTCTTGATGTTTGGAATGAAAGTCTTGACATGATGGCTCACAGTGGGTGGGTGTTCAGAATCTTTGATTTCCTAGGACAAACCCCCCGCCCCACCTCCCCACCCCCTTGACCTACTTGTTCCATGAGTATCTTATTTTACTTGCCAATTTTCTCCACATTTTCCTTTATCTGACCTATTGTTCCATGTCTTTTCTGTTTTATTACAATCTGTTTGTGGTAGGGACAACATCTTTCTCTGTTGTTGTAGTAAATCACCACGTAAATGTATTCAGCTATATTTTTATTATTAACAGATAACTAGCTTTTCTGGAATTGTGCTTTGGTGTTCAGAGAGTGACTAGAAAATAAGTATTCAAAAGAATAAATGAATAATTCCTTTGGGGTACTTGAATCTTGAAATTTTCTGGTGAATTAATTTCCTTCAGACAAAAAGTACGAAACATCCAAATCAGAAACTCTTCCTCCCCACTCCCACTTATTATCCAGTTTCCTTCATGGATTTCCCAAATAAAAACAGACTTCTTGGCTCAGACAATTCTCATTAGGAGTATTTTATGAAAAAAAATATAGGTACTGTTTGTATAAATTAGATTTCCTAGACAGAAAACCCATTAGACAGCCCTTTCATCTTCTTTTCTTTCATCTTTCTTTTGGAAAAGAAAGTTGACAACTATTTCAGAATATAGCTTTTTATGCATCTCAGAGACGTTTTAATTGACTTCATTCAGTCATTCATAGGGAAGGGACAGAAACATTAATTAGGGTTCCTGCCTCCTCCCCCTAGCATTTTTGTAGGCTAGCTACAGCTGTTCTAAAGGACTGGTGTATTGTTCTCTCTTTTTTGATAAATGCCCCAGTTTGACAAATGTTATAAGTGACCTTTATTATTGTTATTTATATTGCAGTAGAATCTAGAGGCTTCAGCTAAAATCAGGGTCCCGTTGTTCCAGGCTGTCAGGGTTCCCTCCCCACTCTGAACTCTGGGGTACAGATGTGGGAACCCGCATGAAAGACCCCCTAAGCTTATTTCTACCAGCTTAAGTTAAAACTTCCCCAAAGCACAAATCCCTTCTTGTCCGTGGATGGTATTCGCTGCCACCACCAAGTGAGTTAGACAAAGATTCAAGGAAAAGAACCACTTGGAGTTTCTGTTCCCCCAAATTTTACCCCCAAACCCCTTCACCCCCTTTCCTGGGGAGGCTTAAGAATATTATCCTCACCACTTGGTACAGGTGAGCACAGACCATATCCCTGGGTTTTTAGGACACTAACAACCAATCAGATTCTTAAAAAAAACAGAACTTTATTATAAAAGAAAAAAAGGTAAAAGAAGCACCTCTGTAAAATCAGGATGGAAGGTAATTTTACAGGGTAATCAGATTCAAAACACAGAGGATTCCCCTCTAGGCAAAACTTTAAAGTTACAAAAAACTGGGATAAACCTGCCTCTAAGCATAGGAAAAAGTCACAAGCTAAAACAAAAGATACTGTAATGCATTTCCTTGATATTACTTACTATTCCTGTAATTTTAGATGTATCATTCAGTAGGAGCTGGCTTACTTGCTTGGTCTCTCTCTTTGTCTCCAGAGAGAACACACACAGAGCACAAAAACAAAGCCTTCTCCACCTCCCCCCAGATTTGAAAATACCTTCTTTCCCCGTTGGTCCTTCTGGTCTGGTGCAAACTAGGTTAATTGAACTGATTAACCCCTTACAGGTAAGGGGATGGGGGGAGGGATAGCTCAGTGATTTGAGCATTGGCCTGCTAAACCCAGGGTTGAGAGTTCAATCCTTGAGGGGGCCATTTAGGGATGTGGGGCAAAAATTGGGGATTGGTCCTGCTTTGAGCAGGGGGTTGGACTAGATGACCTCCTGAGGTCTCTTCCAACCCTAATATTCTATGATACCTCTGGCCAAGAGGAATTTTATATTACTGCATACAAAAGGTTGTGACCCTTCCCTTTATATTTACGACACACACAGGCACCGCAAATACATAGTAAGGGCCTGCTCCTCCCCTGAAGAGTTTACATGCTAAATAGAGAAGACAGACCAAAGTTGGGAGGGAGGGTGGGCAGAGGTGCTGAGAGGTGGAGTGACCTGCCCACAGTCACACACAAGGCCATTAGCAGAGCCAGGTCTTGGGAATCCCAGTGTTCTAGCCACTGCTCTGTACTGCAGGTTTGACTGACAGTTGTGATCCTCTGTAGCACGTTTTAGGTTATGACTTTAGATTTATTGCCAAGTGTCACAGGGTCACCAAAAGCTTCCTCCCTCTTGAACCTGCACCCTGTGTTTAGGCTGGTATAATAAAGAATCTTCCACACCTTCTTTTGCTGGATCACCCAACAACCTTTATTTACAGTGTTCATGCAGTTCCCAGATCCCCCAACAGCTAGTGCCCCACAGACCCTCCCCAGGGTCCCCTGGCTTTTGAGGCTTTCTTCTTTGATAAGGAGACAGCGATACCACCCTCCTGTCTCCTCCCAAGCTAGCCTCCCCACTGAGGTTTGCCCAGGGCTTTTATAGCCCTCTCATGCCTCAGCCCAGCTGTCAGTACTTAGTTGAGCATGTGCCTCTGAGCCAGCCCCCAGTAGGGCTTGTAGCTGGGCTCCCTGTTGAATAGCTGTGTGTCTACCCCGGCTTCCTGGCCAGAGAGCAGGCTGCAGCCAGCATTTTGGCAGGGACTTAAAGGGGTTTACCCCTGCCCTGCCACATCAAGATAAATATTCTAGTCAAGTGCTCTTGCCCCTCAGCCATGCATTTACCATACACAATCTTGACTGTTACAGTGCCCTTCATAGCTGTCTTTCTTCAACTGCTTCTGTCCACTGGAGTGGCTCCAACACCGCTCCCCATTCCCTGTGCTGTATTGGCTACCACATCACCAATACACTCACTAGACAGATATCTTGAATCCTTGACCTCTGTTTCTTTGTGCCCTGAAGCCTAGTCTCCAATCTGCTGTTGGTAAGGTGATACATATGTCATGTTGTACGGGTTATTATACTGCTTATGATTCCAGCCAAATAATGCTACAAAGTGAGCAACAACCTTCATGGTTTCAGAGGAACAGCCGTGTTAGTCTGTATTCACAAAAAGAAAAGGAGTACTTGTGGCACCTTAGAGACTAACCAATTTATTGGAGCATGAGCTTTCGTGAGCTACAGCTCACTTCATCAGATGTATACCGTGGAAACTGCAGCAGACTTTATATATACACAGAGAATATGAAACAATACCTCCTCCCACCCCACTGTCCTGCTGGTAATAGCTTATCTAAAGTGATCAACAGGTGTGCCATTTCCAGCACAAATCCAGGTTTTCTCACCCTCCACCCCCCCACACAAATTCACTCTCCTGCTGGTGCTAGCCCATCCAAAGTGACAACTCTTTACATAATCAAGTCGGGCTATTTCCTGCATAGATCCAGGTTTTCTCACATCCCCCCCACCCCCATACACACACAAACTCACTCTCCTGCTGGTAATAGCTCATCTAAACTGACCACTCTCCAAGTTTAAATCCAAGTTAAACCAGAACATCTGGGGGGGGTGGGGGGGTAGGAAAAAACAAGAGGAAACAGGCTACCTTGCATAATGACTTAGCCACTCCCAGTCTCTATTTAAGCCTAAATTAATAGTATCCAATTTGCAAATGAATTCCAATTCAGCAGTTTCTCGCTGGAGTCTGGATTTGAAGTTTTTTTGTTTTAAGATAGCGACCTTCATGTCTGTGATTGCGTGACCAGAGAGATTGAAGTGTTCTCCGACTGGTTTATGAATGTTATAATTCTTGACATCTGATTTGTGTCCATTTATTCTTTTACGTAGAGACTGTCCAGTTTGACCAATGTACATGGCAGAGGGGCATTGCTGGCACATGATGGCATATATCACATTGGTGGATGCGCAGGTGAACGAGCCTCTGATAGTGTGGCTGATGTTATTAGGCCCTATGATGGCTAAGTCATTATGCAAGGTAGCCTGTTTCCTCTTGTTTTTTCCTACACCCCCCCCCCCAGATGTTCTGGTTTAACTTGGATTTAAACTTGGAGAGTGGTCAGTTTAGATGAGCTATTACCAGCAGGAGAGTGAGTTTGTGTGTGTATGGGGGTGGGGGGGATGTGAGAAAACCTGGATCTATGCAGGAAATAGCCCGACTTGATTATGTAAAGAGTTGTCA